TCGTCCCTTAGGTCAATTTGAGCAGTAAAGATAATCGGAAATCTGCAATCACGCGGCGAAACAAGGGTCTCACAGGTACAATAATCACAACTATCGGACGAAACTTGAGCAGTATTTTTACCTTTCAGTCGTGTATATTTATATACGTAAAAAAGTGTCTGCGAAACGAACCATTCACTAATTAAAATCCCGTTATTTTCGACAAATGTTTCATGGTGTTAAATACACGACTGAAAGGTAAATATACTGGTCAAGTGTCGTACGACAGTTGTGAATATTGCTACGTGTCAGACCTGAATCTGATTACAGATTTTCGATTATCTGTAAGTAGCGAAACGAGCCATATGCGTATTAAATATTATTATTTTCGGCAAATATTTCTCCTGATTAGTTTAATTTTCATTATATGTGTTATCCCATTTCGTTTCGTTTCGTCGATACAATAAACCGCATACAGAAAGTCATTCCCCGGAATCATCCACACTTCCGAAACTCCTTTCGCTCCTCGGCCTTATTCTCATTCAGCTCCTGCCTTTTTCTAGGTTTTCTGTTCTGCATTCATGCTAAAGTCTCTCGAAGTTGAATATAAAATGGTATCTAATGGAATAAGAATCCTGGCAAAGTTGTGTGCATTGTTTTTTAAACTACTGGTATCAAATAAATGATCTTATTCACAATCATGTCAATAGTTCTCATCTTTCTTCGTCAAGCAACGAATGACACCCACAGAAGTTGCATACCCAGTAACTTGTTTGAGTTGATCACACTCCACTTGAGTGCAAAAAACGGCAGAGAATCCTCGCAATAGGGGGTACGATGTTCTCAATATATGTCTGAAATAGGAGGTGTTTTTTTCTTCAATACGTCTGCTCTAGGGGTACTAAATTTACATTGCGTCCGCAATAGGGGGTATGGTTTACCGATGTGCTGCCAGCCCCAGGGGCTTATTATTTTTTAGCAAGAACGCACATGGTGTAAGGTTTTAATATTGAGTGACCCCCCCCCCCCCCCCGGGCTATTCACGTTATAAAAGCACTTCGTCACTAGAGGGCGCGATTTATACCGTGTCGCGATATTTGTCACTTTTGAGGGCGCGCTTCTTTCTGTGTTAGCCACAGGTAGAAACATTTTTCTAACGCTTGTGTTAAAGATGAATAGTGTGTTTGGTTCTGCATATCCCCCCCCCCCCAAAAAAAGGCTTTGATATAATCAGAATGAGCTTGGTCAGGGTTAGTTTTAGCATATACTCAGTGGCTCTGCTTGGAAACCTATGTGCCAATATGAACTTGAGAATACCATTGTCTGAAGATGAAACATCATGACTTATAGGGCAGCACCCATTTGATGTGAGAGTTTGTACTATTAAAGATGCACAAGTGTTGATACATTTACCAAGAGTATGAAAAAAAGTTTACTTAAATCAAAGTAACACACTGTAGTAGTTATCTAGACATGTTGATGACTCATAGACAGGTAGGATTTAACCAATTATTGTGTATCAATCTTGCTCAGATGTTTTAAATATTTTGTAAAAACAATAATCCAATCTAATAAAGGCTTTAGTTCTTGCAATCACATAGTTGAATGTGTTTACACTTTGGATTCCTATTTTATTCTTAATATAAATGCTTCCATAACCATCTCTATCAGATTTTGTTAAATATGAAAACTTAAATTTAA